ACTCTACACAACTTCCAAATGCAAGTAGAAGAGGCTGTTACAAGATCACTTATAAATCATCCATTATTGTTCGAATTTTCAGGCACTGAGAAAATGGGGTTTGAGGTAGAAGAAGGAAATTGGAAAGAAGGAGTCTTTGGTTTTGTAGAACATTGATTGAACAAAGAGGTCCTGGACGTGTGCAGAATCAGCCACATGATGACAAAAAATGCTTTTGGAGGAGTGGTGCATTGAAGGGCAGGAGCACACAAAGAGGAGAATTCATATTCTGCTCCTTCCCAACGTCCCTCTAAGAGCCACAAATTATTGATCATTTTCTGGGTAAGACTGGTGAGAGGCAGCTAAACCTACGTTACGAAAATTGAACTCTTCCATGCTCGAGGTGTTAATAAGATGGAATGAGTATTAGCACAAAGTTGGTGACACAATAGGCAGCTTAGAAAGTAAATGAGTACCATTAACTCAGCTAATAAAGTAAAATAAACAAATTCATTCAACAGTGTAAGACAGCGTGATACTCAAAAAGAGGAAAGCCACACAGAGATTTCATGATCTTCCTCACTCCGAACAATGCCTGTAATATAATATAATATACAGTCAATAAATATTTATTGAACAAATTGATCTGAAAATCCAACAATTCACACATTTTTGACTAATTTTTGAGTCAGATTATTTCTAAATTTCCTCAGTCAGTTCTTCTAGCACAATCTAATCACCAAATAGCAAAGATTTTATGTGGCTGTTCTTTGTCTTCAATAAATAATTTAAATCCACATTTTCAGGGTTAAGGATGTTTTTGATGAATGATAGCTCTGGATACAGTCTGTGAATCTAGAGGAATATTTTCTTAGAATGAGTGTCTTCCCTCTAACCCTACACCTGTGCTGCCACAGCCCTCGCCACTTCCTGTCTGTGATCGCAATACCCTGGCCTGGTCCCTACAGCAGGTGGATGGACCAAGCAGAGCCCTGGGTTTTGGTACACCTCCCTCCAACACACCTCGCACTGTGGGCTCACTCAGTGCACAGAAATACACTGCAGAGTCCTCCAGCTGTGAGGCTGAGATGACGAGTTTGATGGATTTGCTTGCCTTCTGGAAATTCAATGAGTAGCGACCTTCTTTGGCGTTTTGCTGGTTATAAGTGTCCTGACGAATTAGGAAAGTCATCGCCCCACTGCTGGGCTGCTTGTACCAGAATAAACTATAAGTTGGATCACTGGTGTCGTATGTGCAGTTCAGGGTCACAGCCTCCTTCTCCTGCGCTAACATTGGTGGTTGCTCTTGAGTTACCTTCTGGGCAATGCTGGATCCTGAAGAAATAAACAAGGAATCAGAAATTTAGGAATAAACACTGTGGAAATAAGAAATTCTATTTTACACCCT